TTTATTTTTGTTATATTTTATTTTTGAGACGTAATGGGAGCTCGGTATTTATTGTTGGGTAAGTTTTGGAGTTTTTATATAATTGTATGTGCTCTTTGTTTATTTGGACCAGATCTTAAAATGCGAAAAAAGCATGGAAAATATATTATTTATCCTATCATAAAGCCCTAATTTCAGTAGCATAAAAATCAATAAATTTCAAATACAAAACTCGTATAAATTTGAAAACTTGCAGGATTGTCACACTGTAAAAAATAGTACTCAGAATTCTACTTCTGCTAAAAAGCAAATTTCGTCAAAATTAAAAAAAATAGTAATTCGTCATTCCCTTTTTTTGAAAAAAATGGGGGGAAAAGAAAACAAATCGTAACGCTTAATGAATCAAATTTTTCTAATAATTACTTTATTATGGGGGCCATCTAAGTAGATAAATTTCTGCAACCATGTGGGTGGATGAAAACCACCATGTAGTGTAATCAATATGGTAGAGGTCTACCATATAGGTGGATGAATGTCTAAACGCAAGAAGGACATAGAAATTTCACCCATGCCCGAAGTGGCATTCGAGGCCGAGATCTTCCTGATTCAAAGCCAACTCTATGACTACCTTATACGCCGGTTTGCTTGTTCTGTGACTTAATTTTAGATCATCTTACCTTCATTTTAGTTGCACCATTCTAGGTAAATATCTTTTCCAATGCACTATGATAAGGCTCCAAGTTGAGGAAACATTTTCTTCATATATTCAAGAGTTCGTGTTTCTAGGCAAATCATGAGATTTTAGGACGAAATGATTATTAAAATTACCGAAATACATTAAAAGTGGGAGTTTTTTTAGTGAAATCAAATTTTATTCTTGAATGTGTAATCCTTTGTTTAAAAAATTTGTTTCAAAGTCATTTTTCACTCCTCTAAAAGTGGATGATTTAAACGTTGATATAAAAAGTCACTCTCATAACAGCCGACCCAAATCTGAGTTTACTACTATCAATGTTCAACTCCGTAGCCTTTTAATTTTGAACCCAACACAGAAGTTTTTGGAACTGCTTAATCAAGTATTAGGACAAACAAGACTTCACTGTTTGATTTATCTAACCCACATTTGTGTTATACGGAGAGAAAAATCACGAAAACCTCCCATGGTTAACCCGATAACAAGATGATTCTAAACCATGATCTGTCTACCACTGAGGTTATGGTATATCAGCACTGTGGTCAGTGTGAGCTTGGAATAATATTCGCATCAACCAGTCACAGTTGGAATCGAATCTGGTACACCTTTTTGGCTCACTTCATCACTCTATCCTCATAGCAGCCGCACTTCTGTGCTGAACTGTTGCCAACATTCTGCCCCATGGATTTAAGATCAGGACCATGATATTGGTATTCATTTGCCCATTACACTCACTAAATTTTATTAGGCAACAGAATTACTGATGCAATGTCACAAGCATGAAGCCTCTTTTGGTTAGAAATGGGTCAAGAGAAAGCTCAGAACTCAAATGTCCGTTCACTAGTTCAAACAAACCCAAAAAATTCAAACGTTCATTCATTAATCTGATTCTTGTCAATGTCAGGGAAAAAAAAACAACAGAAATGTAATTATTATAATTACAACAAAATTTCTCTTTCGAATAAACAAAACTCTAAATCATATTTTCCTCTAACCGTGTAAAACACTCATTAAACTTAATAAGAAAATAATTACCTTAAATACCTTTCAATTATGATGATTCAATAATTTTAGAATAATTTCTTTAAGACAGCAACCATTCCCACGGTCCCTTCTACAGTTCAGTTTGTCCCATATCAACAATCTAGTAACCCATAGAGATCAGTAATTACACAACCAAAATTTAGTTTAGGTAGTTGTAATCACCTGACATCCGCACTGATTCCCCCAAAACATGCGTAAACATTTTCGATTCTGAAGCCACCTAGGACATTCTAACCGTGTAAATACTCATTAAATTTAATAAAAAAATAATCACCTTAAATACAGATTCTTTTCAATTATGATGACTCAATATTTTGAAAATAATTTCTTTAAGACAGCAATCATTCCCATTGTTCCTTCTACAGTTCAGTTTGTCCCATATTAACAATCTAGTAACCCATGGAGATCAGTAATTACACTACCAAAATTTAGATTAGGTAGCTGTAATCACCTGGCATTCTCACTGTTTTTCCCAAAACATGCGTGGACATTTTCGATTCTGAAGCCGCCTAGGACATTGCATCAGAACAAGTATCTGAGTGATTTAGCGAATACTGTAGGCTTTTCTTCTACAATTCAGGCTATTTCATATCAATTATCTAGCAATCTATGGAGATCAGCAATTACACTACCATAATTTAGATAAGGTAGCAGTGATCAACTTACATCCCCAAACCATGCGCAGACTTTTTCGGCTCTTAAGCAGCCTAAGATAATTGCATCAGAATAAGTACCGAACAATTAAGACAATATCGAAGTAAATGCATTTTGGCCTAAAACCCTGCTTTTTACATTAGAAGTTCAATCTCGGTCCAAGCAGTGGTAGGCGAAAACTATCTCCTCCACAAAATTATGCAGCTGGTGACAAATAGGTACTTCATACTAAAAAACTTAACTGACTATATTTTTTCTTTGGTTTTTTAAGACAATAAAAATGTAGCACTGTGAGTGTTTTTTCTTGTAATAAAGAGGTAAGCAAAATTAGGGAATACAACAAATTTTATTCATAAAAATATTTGTACAAATAAAGAAATTGAGTCAATTCATTTCTCTTATAATCACATCCATTTGCTCTTATAGCACCAATCAGTTTGATTTATGATCCAATTCATTCCAAATTAAGCTCATCTAGAGAGAAAAGAAATTAATCTTATGAAGTCAGTGTGATATCGTAAAAATCTGTTAATCTTATTTATTTGAGTTTTGAACAAGTACTTTCTATTTATGGGCTTAGAGAATGACTGGTCAAATTATTATTTCTTATATTACATCGAAACTTACGATCACGATAACTTGTACTATAAATTACTTCAAAAACAAAAAATGGTGAGAATTCCACTATTGTATTAAGATGAAATATAAGTGAGGAAGAAAATTTCGCTGATATAAGAGATATTTTGCATTTCTTTCAGATATTTTCATGAAATCACGTGTTATTTAAAAATCATGCGACTTAGTGACAAAATGGTTGTTTATAATAATAAAATATAGCTCAGACATTGTTGAATATTGTCAAAAATGAGAGTTTTGGAGAGTATGTCTGTTTTCTTTAAATAAGCCTCCTATTCTTAGGCTATATTTGTTATATTTATTTTCCTTAAAATGTTTACCTGAAAATTTTAAAATTTATTTGAATTAAAAAAAAGGAAAAAGTTCATGTTTAATAAAAAGTGAACAGAAATTTATACAAACCACAATTATCACTTGTAAGTACTTTATGTTAAAACAACTCTTTCTCTTTCAGATGGCCATCGCTTGGTCTCCTCATATTGACTGCTTTCAAAACTTTTCCCTAATATAAACAAAATATAATTGAAGAAAAATTGATAAATAAAGTACAATTTAGATACAATGAAGTAAAAGTAAAACTGTTTTTAAAATCACTTTCTTCATGTAAACAAAAAAAAAAGTTTTTGATAGACAAAATTTTGGGACAATGCAAGATTCTCTCTTTCGGAAGGCCATCGTTTGGTATCTTCATATTAACTGCTTTCAAACATTTTCCTGTTATAAGCAGAAAATAATTAAAGAAAAATTTAAAAAAAGACAACACAGATGCAATGAAATAAAGTAGAACTTTTTTAAAACCGCTTTTTTCATGTAAACTTTAAAAAAAAGTTTTTGATAGACTAAATTTTGGGATTCTTTCGGAGGGCCATCGTTTGGTATCTTCATATTAACTGCTTTCAAAAAATATCCTGTTATAAGAAATAAATAATTGAAGAAAATTTTTAAAAAAGACAATGCAGATACAATGAAATAAAGTAGAACTTTTTTAAAACCGCGTTTTTCATGTAAACTTTAAAAAAAAGTTTTTGATAGACTAAATTTTGGGACTCTTTCGGAGGGCCATCGTTTGGTATCTTCATATTAACTGCTTTCAAAAATTATCTTGTTATAAGAAATAAATAATTAAAGAAAAATGTAAGAAAAGACAATGCAGATACAATGAAATAAAATAAAACTTTTTTAAAACCGCTTTTTTCATGAATCGAAATCTTGATCGATTCTAGAAATATGAATCGTGAATTCAGTAGTAGTATAATTTTACCAATGTCGCTCTACTAAGCTGCTTCGGAAGCTATTCATGATTCCATCCACTTTAAAAGTGGCAACTAATTTTGGGCAAAGTTTTATTATTTACTTCAATATATTAAAAAAAATTAAATGTTTATGTATCATTTGTTTAAAAAAATGCAATTTTACATGTAGCAAAATACGAAATCCGCCGAATGATTATTGAGAGTTCGAATTCTAAATATAAAACATTTTTAAAACTCTTCGTGCATGTTATTTCAAAACTTGCTTTTTTTTAAACAAAAATATAGTCAAATTTAATTTAAACTACCCTAAAACTCATAATACGTTTTCTGATTCTTGGAACACTGTGTACAACTTAATGTTTTCAAAAGCTTTTAATTAAATTATGAGTCTCTAAGAAAACTATTCGTCGAGATATTTCAAAATCTCTTTTATGGCCCCGCGCACTCCTTATGAAAAGTACGGATGATGTAATTAAAATGAAGAAGATCAAATACTTACAGAGACGGTCACATTCTGTTTCTGACTCTCGAGCTTCTTCTATAAATATGTGATCCTTGGAAGAGAGCACGAGATCGTCTTCATTGTCATCATCCGATCCTATACTAGAGTTTCTGTTGAAGAAAATAAGAGCACTTCAGACTGATGCATTGAAGTTGAAGTAACTACTTCACTTCCTTATGTGCACTTTCAACCGCCAGTAATATTCATTATATTAGTTTATGTAAGAAAAAGCTTTATTTGTTCGTAAGAGAGAGCGAGGAGTTATTAAAGTAAGCAAGATATATATATTGGTATTCTCTTGAAAGCAAACTTTTCTGTTGGTGTAGCATTAATTAATAGTAGTACACATAAATCTTGAGTTTAGTTAAGTTAGTTATTTAAATTGTTTAGAATAGTAAACATTAATCTTTTTGAGTTTTCCCACAGATCTAATCATTTTAAGCAGAATGTTTATAGAGTGTTATAAGATATATTCAAAGTTTCTTATAAGATATTTTTCTTTTCTCTATCTATTTAGATAATGCTTTTATATCGCTTTTATTTTAAAAATGTTAGTAAATTAGTATTTTTTTTCAAATCTACAGTTAATCAAAGTTCGTTAAAATTTTAACTGTGTTTTAATTTTCAATTGGTATGTTTCTTAAAGCATTAAAAGCGCTTAGACTAAATTTAATTATGAGATATTCTAGCATATTTAAAGACATACTTTCGAGATATTATTTTCTTGTTCCTGTAGTTCATCAAATAGAACTATGTAGATTTAGTTTATGATGATTATACGATTGGGAATAATATGTTTAGTGCCTTAAGGCTATAATATTGATTTAATAATGAAAAAATCTGTGTTTGTATTTTTTTTTATTGGTATAGAAAAATCAAGTCAGTTTTAAATATAAAAAAAGGTAACATCAAAATGATTTTAAATTTTAACAAATAATGGTAATTTTGTCAATCATAATAATTTTTCAAAAATTCATTATATTCGTTCATGTGTTTTTTTAGCGATCTCATGATTCAGGTTAAAAAAAACACGCGTCGGTACACTTGAGGGTTCAAAATCACCGTGATTCATGAAAGTCAACTGATCTTGTTCAGCCGTGTATGCAAATCTAATTACCGGAGATCAGACATGTTTACTCATTAAATGTAAATTTCTTACCCATCTCCAGGTTCTCTCCAAGATCGGCTGGTATTTTGCTTGCTTCTCACTAAATCTGGAATTTCGTAAATCGCTTGTTCTTCTCTGGTGCATAATTGGCGTCCTAAAAAATAATTCTTAGTATGCAAATCTAAATTATATTCGTATATTTCTTACACATATGCCTAGGCACCTAGTTAAATATATAAAAAAAAGAATTTTGGTGCATTAAAGTTAATGTAAACATTGATTTATGTGCTTACCTGCATGGTGATATGCTGGTAAGTATACTATTGATGATTGGTAGTTACTTTCGAATTTCACATCCTAAGTAAAATAAAATATATGTATAGATTAAGCAAATAAAAAAGGATTTTCATTTTACACTCATAGAAAAGATGGCCTGTCATGCTGAAATATGCATAGCATATTTCCTAACATTTGAATGTTACCAAATTATTATTTTATTTATTCCATTTTCAATAAATAAAAATCATTAATATAATCTGCAAGATTTTTATGTCATAGCCTTGAATTGAATGCAGAATAAAATCTATTTTTAGAAATTCCGTCTACGACTGCCTAACGCATTAGCATAGAATTCGAAAACCGTAATATGGTTGCTAATCTTTTGGATTCATAAAAATTCGTTATTATTTCTCGCGTTTTCTTTTCTGCCAACACATTTGAATGCGCAAAGCTCAGAAAAGAGTTTTGGCAATCAATTAATAGCCAATAAATAAATTTCTAAGCTTTCCTTGGCGAAAACTATGCTTAAGTTCCCAATTTTCGGTTTCTTGGTGGACGGAGGTGGCTTAGCCCTGCAGCCACATCCTCCGTGCGATTGTCCCAAATTTATAATTTGATAAAGTATATTTATATTAAAACTTAATTTGAAATTAATCCACACAATTTCAAATATATATTTTTTTATTTATTACAAGAAAAACGAAGAAGAGAGCGAAGGAAATAATAGAGAATTTTAAAGAAATCGAAAACATCAGCAAACAAATAATGGTTTTCGAATTCTATGCTAACGTGTTAGGCCGATATAGAGGGAATCTCTAAAAATATATTTTATTCTGCTCTCAATTTAAGGTTGTGGTATAAAAAGATTACATATTATATTAATGATTTTTATTTATTGAAAAAAGGAATAAATATGATATTAATTTGGTTTTTTAAATGTTAGGAAGTATTTTATGCATATTTCTGCATGACATGATCTGATATTCATAAGGGGTCCTTTGATAAATTTACTGGTATTTGAAATAGGAACAGATTTACTGGTACCAAAAATTGAATACAAGAAGAATTGACCCCCTAGATAATTACTTTAAACTCTAGGGCATCAATGAATCAAAAAAAAAAACAAATAAAGATAACTGTTAATTGTTAGGGTGGCTCTCGATTGTACTAAATTTTTTTTCAGATGGAAGACTTATCATCAATAAGAAATTTTTCTTATGTAGCTAAAGTTAATTATATAAAAAATAAATTACTATTAATATTACATAACTAATGCCAGTTCCACTTCTTAGAATATTTTGAAGAAGTAGAACTGGTTAGGCTGTTATACCGTATTTAAAGATATTATAATTTAAAAATAATTTATAAGCATTTAAATTCCTGATAATAAAAATATTTTTTAATCGATTAATTTCCTACATATTCTTGCAGATGAAAAAAAAATAAAAGGAACCAAAAAAGAGCCAATCAAAAAAAATTGACAGATTCATTTTGTATACAATGGGTATATACAATGAGTTAACAAAATTTGGACAGAGCAAATAATAATAAATAATGTTAAATTTGACAAAAAATAGCTACAAAATGTATATATAAAGTCTGTTTTTGTCTTTTTTTTGTCATGAATGTTAGAGCTTTCTACTGAGAGCAGTTCGAAGCCATTTAGGAATTTAGGGCAATTGGGTACCCGGAACTCGAGAAAAAAACCGCTGAAATCAGCTGATTCTGCAATACGAGATCGCGTGTAAACGTCACAACTATTAAACTTAGTTTATTATCATACTGAATCAACTTCTGTTGAAAAGTGACGTCACGCGTGGCTGTCGAACACGATTGGCAGCAGAATCAAGGCATAAGCAAGTGTCTTGATTCACCTGCCAATCAAGTAAACCATGACATCAAGGACCACGCGTGACGACACTTTGAGGTATCCATTTTGCTTTCCAACAGACTCGTTTCCTTTTTGGAGTTACGAGACAGAATACATTTGATGGTTTCGCCCAGAAATAATGCTATACTTACAGAAATATTATGATTATTTAGTGTTATTTATATATTTATTTTGAAAACTTGAAAGTTTATGTTAGTTGTGAAATTTGGTATTCTTAAATCTGAAATTTTGCATCCCCCTCTTTTAAAACTTAGGAAAGAAAAGAAATTTATAGATAGTGAGTAGATTATTAGGAGACGTGTTTTTTGCAGTCACTGAAAACAATAAAAAAATTTATTTAAAGTTCCACAGCTGTCAGCGTATGTTCAGTAGTTTTACCACTTTACATATTTATTCTATGCACAACTCTTCCAATAATCAAATTATTTTTATGATAGTTATCCACTATCCGCAATTACACGAAAACAAATCATAACAAATATATCGAAAAACTATTTAAAAAGCGGCACTTTTCCGATCCTGTTATTATGGGCATTCGTTCAACCTACAGGGATTTGTAATTCTTATATTGATGTGAGAATCAATCATCGTTACCTTTAGCAGACACCGAGCAGACATTTTAAAATCCTTTTTTATATATTGCGTATATAATTAGTAAGTTCCAACATTATGATTTGATAAAATTTATTGTCTCTCTGACTGTGGTACAATATGTATTAAATCTAGAGTATTTATGTACTAGACAAGAAGTTATTGTTTTAGTATCAAAAAGCAATATTGCTTGTAAAATAATCTAGAAAAAATTTATTTCTCTTTTCCTTATTTTTTTAAAAAAATATTTTACGAAAATTATAAAGCGAATCGATTGATGCAAGAAACACTATTTTATGAACCGTAGTAGCTTTGTAGTTAGAGAATTAGATACCTGTTCTGAAAGACCGGGGTTCATTCCTCGACATGCTCGTGAAATCCTTGTAATCGAAAGTTAAGTGGTAAGTCAATAAGGACAAGGATTTAAAGAAAATTTCCCCTTCATATCTATGTCCAAATTGAGGAAGTCACTTCACGAATCAGTGATGCTGACACCATCCATGGAGTTTTGAGCTGAGACGAATATTCATCTTTGCGGTTTTCTCTTGTCAAACGAAAAGGGTTCCTCCCTTTCTTAAGGCCTGGTTTCTTAGGACAGG